CATGATCAGTACTTCCCAGGACCTCAAGTTTTTCTTTTGACAGGTACACTCTAAGTTACCCTCATGCTCCTTCCCCACATCCTCGAACAAAAAGCTCAGGCACGTGCTGGCTATCCCCAATTGATCTAGGAAGGATGAAGGCCAAGCGGTGGCTGCGTTTCTGAAGACGCCATTGTCGACGCCAATTTCATGCAACACGAGCGAGTGCGACAGGTCGCTCGACTCACGGTGAGAGCTGAGCTTCTCGTCTTCCATAGCGACCAGAGGTCCTGTGGAGCAATACCAAGCGTGTTAAGCATTGCTGTCGTTTGTGCTTTTCGTTTCGGGCTTCCAGCCATTGTCTCATAAAGACATCCAGATCATGGTGATGGAGGCCTCTCTCGTGTGCTCGCTGAAGATAATCAATGGAAACAGCCCATCACCCCAGAGAGCATCATTTGAGATCCTTGCACCCTAGTCAGTAAAGGGGCATAGGTAAGACCTGGGGAAAGGAAAAACACACAGAAACCATAGCCGTGGTTCTTCAAGGCGTACTCCCGAGTCATTGGCCCCCTATCATGTGTCGTACACACTACTGCATACGCAGCAGGTGCATCTACCAGCAGTCCTGCCTATGTTCAATTCGCTATCTAGCAAATATCCAACAGAGTCTGTGGTCTAGACCGACTCAAAGATTCCATGCCGTGGGGCCCTCGTTCTTGGCCCACACAAGATCAAATGCATGCCTCTACCGTGTTTCATGTTCCCTCGGTTGGGACCGAGGAGCCCGCTGTAAATCTCTGCCTCCATGCAGAAGGAGAAGCTTGTGGCTTTAGGCAGCGCATTTCATTCTTTTCGAGGATCTCTTACCCCTGGCGCTAATAACCTAATCTGCAGAATCCGGGACGGAGGATGGATCTCAAAGTAAAGGCAGGTGGCCATAAGCTCAAGGATCAGGGGTGACAAGGGGAATACGAGGGATGTCAGCGCTGCGAGCGAATACCAGTTCTAGATCAGACTTGGCTATGCGATTGCCTCCGAGAAAATTGGGTTTGGATGAGAAAATCACACTTCACCAACGGTTATTCTTTCTGGAACATCCAGCCAAATCACGGGACAACCAAACGTGCCATGACTAGAGAACCTCCTTCCTAACTGACTTCAAGCAGATGAAACCCCATTGTAAGAACTCTAAGGCTTCCAGGACAAGGTCTGTCAAACGAGGCGAATAGCCTAAACTCGCTTAATAGCCTCAACTAGCTTTGAGAGGAGGCGAAAGATCAGGTAAAGGCCCTGATTTGAACCATGACCGAAATTCATATTCAAAAATTCGGTATTCGAGATGAGATCGAACAATCCTTGAGCCTGCAACATCGCCACTGATCACTTGGCAAGCGTGTACTCGTATATATGCGGTAGCAATCCACATTATCTACAATATGTATTCGAGAGAGCACTCTTGCTTTACTTGCTTACTCAGTGACACAGGCTGCCTGCCTTTCGGGCCAGAGAACCGCAATCGTCAAGGGAAAACATGAATGTCCCTTCCTTTAATGGCTCTTATCTCTCTGGAAAATACACGTTGAAGTAGTGAGAAATATATCTCATGTGCTCAGCCTCACGACCCTCATCCGAAAGATGGCTGGAATGGCTAAAATACTCTACGTAATCGTAAGCCCTAAGCACAGAGAAAACTGTACACTTTTGCGCAAAACATAATGTTCATAACTTATTACATTGAGATTCTCCAGCTTCGTTTGAAGGATTGCCAAAGGTGGCGCTGCTTGTCTCTGTCGAGAGGTAAGGCCCAAGTACAACTTGAACATACCTAGATATGTGACATGCTCTCACAGTGGTACACGCCGTCCAGGTTTATTACAGATTTCCAACGCCAAGCGTGATGATTACTTATAACTCAAGTTCAAAGCTCATTATAATCACTAAGCCAGCCGCTCTGCAGGCATTACTGCCCGATCTTGTGTAGTTTTTGCCATAGGGTGCAACAGTCCAGTTTTTTAACACAGCACTTCGGCGGTAGTTTGTGCACAGCCAAAATCTGCCATTTATCTCTCTATATCTTTTTTTTTTGTCATTTTTATGCAAAAAGGCGAACTAGATATCGTTTTCTTGATGTCCAGTTGCCTACATATATTATTAGCCCTCTTCATCAGAGCTGCGACCCATGACTGGACGCAACCAAGCGAGGAAAAAAAGAAGGGGAAAATATGAATGACGATATTCTAACACGTATTTTTACATTTCGGTCGTGAATACGATAGCGCTAGCTCCCAAATAGAGAGTGAGGCTGCAGAGAGGCTGTGTTACGGGAACCGGGCCGCCTCCGGTCGCCCAAAGGCAGCCAACAGCAAGGTAGACAGATCGTAACAGAAGTACGCCTTGTAGCCTAGCCATATGCTGCCATAACAGTGTTAAAATAAAATGAAATAGAGGTCAGTGCGGTTGGTTGATATAGAGCCACGGCTGGTAGGTGAAAGAGAGCTGATCACCGTTTTCTCATCAAGCACAGTGGTATTCGCTTTCATGTTTGGAATTTAAATCGGCACTGAAGCCTCTTGAATTGTATAAAAATCATATGTACCTGCGTCACCAGTAAGTATCAATTGTTCCAGGTGCCTACCTTGAAGCTGTTGGCTCGCCGTCAAGGCAATCATAACGACAAGGCTGGGAATCCTTCCCTGCCCTTGTGACCACATATGGAACACTGCTGCAGATGACCTCCTAATCTGAGAAAACAACTTTGTTGTGCCTGGGGAATCTAATATCAAGGACCTTCTTGCCCGGGCGCATTGCTTATCATGGGTGTATAAGGATTCGTTCTCCTCGTTTATCTAGAACCCGGATCTCTTCAGCTTCAATGCCACGCTGGATATTTTACTCATTAAATGATTTTCCTTTTCAAAAGCGATTTTATCGTGAGATAGCCTCATGACTGGACTGAGATCCATACCTAACTCCCGGTGCAAACTCATTTCCTGGGAAGCCATGATTAGCGATGTTTGGAATTGCCCTGGTTGTGGAACGATCATTTCCGTGTCCCAAGCACCGGATGACTGCTTGACATGTGTCGCGTGAGTATTTTTTATCTCTTTGACTCAGTTCGGGCTTTAGTGGGTTGTTTTTTTAACATATTCCGATTGTAGCAAGAAGCAGAACTTCTCATGAACCGTACCTAAAGGGAAACTGTCAAAGAAGGAGTGACAAGAGTACGTGGGAGATAATTAGCTTAAGCGCGATGGATTTTCATAGACCCCTTTCATTTTATCCCTTTTAGTATAATAAACAAAAACCAAATAATCTCTTCATCCTAGAAGTCCAACCCAAGCGTGAAGAAGGAGTTGCCGACCAGTTCAATTACAGCATCTGTGTAGGGGTATAGGGTAACCTGCCTTGTACGCAATCCCGCTGCCTCGCCAGCTCAGACATGGATGGACGTTTCAATAGGAGAATATGACCTCATATTTTCGGCCACTCGATATGGAGTTTTAATTGTGAAGGGCTCCTGGCCTTTTCTTCCCTTTTCGTCCTGCACTAATGTCCATTGCCTATTGCCAGAGGACCATCAAAGATTAGTTGAAGAGACACGAGAAAATATCGAAGAACAATGTATGATAGCCAGCCGCTCCAGGTAAATGACCTTACTGGCCCTGAAATATTACTGAAATCTCTCATGGCAGGGAATTCATCCTGGGGCAGAGTTGGGGAGGACAACAAGCACGTGGTGGGTACCATATGGACGGATATCTGGCTAACGGCACAGCGTATTTAAGCTGTGAAGGTGCGTTTTTAGGAAATCCATCTAATTGTCAGGCTAAAGGGAATAACCAATAGGAATACTAAGGAATCGCGTTAGCTGTGTTGGAGTGGCAAGCCTTGAGCGAAGTTATATGGGCTCAGGGGCCAAACCAAGTTGAACCCGCAGTCAATCCAATCACGTCTTACGAGGCCGGTACTACCACCATCGACAGTTAAATTCACCGCCGCGACCCACGGCACCTAAAAAATCCAGCACACCCCAGCAGAATCTTTGTGCCACCCCCTTATTAGTGCCAGATCGCATACCTAAGATCGTGGGGTCGGATCGATTTGGATAGCTTCCTCATAGGCCATTTGCATTCTCATCATTTTGACAAAATCTACCGTCTGGTAGGAAGCAGTGATTGTGATAAATTGGCAATTCATTTAGTGCTTTGGATGCTATTGTCATTGGCAGTTCCCATTGACCGGGTTTTCTATGATTGAAACGAAAGTTACCCATTCAAGAGAAGAAAAAATCTTATTCATGGACGCATGGAAATGCATGTGAATGCCAATGACGATGATGCAATTGTCCAATGTGAAGCTCTTAAGACAATAAAGCTTGGGCATTGTGAGCTTGCTGAGAGGCAGAAAAAGTGGAACCCCAGCAACGCGATTGGCTGATGGTGCCAAATTTCCAGATGTTGCTGACTCACCACCCTGCATGCACGTGAGATGCGCCTGAATCCCCCGTTGGAAGACAGTGGACAGTCGCGATCACGACGCGCGCTTCACTGATGGCCGACTCGTCTCTGCCCATTGCACCGCCAAGCATTTAATTATCGCGACCTCCAGACGATATTTGTGCCGCCTAATGGCACACACAATCATATTGTTTGCCTCGTGATTATTGTTGTGCACTCATTTGACCTTCTTGTCGGCCTGGGCTGATTCTCATGTCGGCTCGAAAACCCGTTCACATCTTCTGGTAGGTACTCCTGTGGTAGATCACCACCACGTTTTTAACTACATCCCCCCAAAATAAAGCAAGACCCAACGCCCCCATCAACAAATCCAGCATCCTCCCCTGACTTCAAACGATTTTTCCACCATTCCGAACTCGCGCAGCTCTGACAATTCTTAATCACATTAGATCTTAGAGGGGGGCTAAGCTTGCGTTATTCCTCTTCACGCTTCTGCATCCATCTATTCGAGCCCCTGCGCCATCAGCACCACGTCGCATCTTGCACACGCCCGTCGCCAACATGTCCAGCAAGCGAAAGAGAGACCTTCTCGAGACCTTCGACCCGAACAAGTCTGATTCTGAGGATGAGAATTTCGATCCCACCGAAGCTCGTCCTCGCAAAACCTCGCGAAAAGCTCGATCTTCAAGGAGGGGGAAGCCTTCGCGAAAGAAGTCTAGCCGTCGCTATCGAGGATCCGACATCGATGACGACGACGACGAATTATCTGACAGCCAGGAAGATTCATTCGATGACGAAGAGTCTGAGGAGTCTGAGGACGAGGACGCCCCGAAGAATGCTGCTGGCCGTCGAGCTCGAAAAGTCACAACTCAACAACACAACTATAAAGAAAGCTCCGAGGATGAAGAAGTAGTAGGAGAAGAGAGTCCAGACGATGCCGAGGGCGATGATGTCGCTGAAGAGCTGGAACCCCCTCCACAGAGAGAAACACGAGCTCGGCGTCTAGTCAAGCTCAAAGTACCTACCCCAGCAAAGCCTCAGGCGACACGACGTATGACACGCGCCACTACAGAGGATGCTGAGGAACTTGTTGAGCTTTCCAACTCTGGCAACCATGCAATCCCCTCGCGCGCCTCGCGAAGCAAGAGCCCCGAAGCTCTTCGCCGTGCCCGGTCGTCTCGCTCCGCTAAGACTGTTGTTAAGCCCGAGGCTACTATAGAGGAGGCGACCCAAGAGAACAGCTCGAAAGAGATACCCGATGCTGATGAACCTGACGAACTCTCCCAAGAGTACGCCGACCAGGAAGCAAAGAAAGAAGCAGAGGCGCTGGAGCCGGTCTCAGGAGATATCCCCATCGCCGATGATCAAGAGGCCGATGCTGCAGCAGAACCTGCCGCCGAGGATGAGGACGAAGATGATGACGTCCCAATTACCCGCCGAACTAGAGGCTCACGCGCCAACATTGAGGAAGAACCAGCCGAGCCTGAAGATGCCGAGGGTGACGCTGTTGACACCGAACAAACCGGCCAACCCCGTCGGCTTACTCGCAGATCGGTTCTCAAGAAGAAATCAGCAGCGGAACCTAGTAGTGATTTTGATCCTGGCGAGGAGTCGGACGACGATGCCGCTCTCTCCGGAAAGGGGGAAAACGAAGACAATGAGCCGGATAGCCCCACCCCCCGGGGACGCGCAGGGAGGAGAACCCGCCCGTCGCGCGGCGGTGGCGGGGCTGACTCTGCCGAAGAGGAGCCCGATTTCGACATGGACGAACTCAATGAAGAAGCCCGCGAGTTGAGAGCTGGTTCGCGACCTCGCCGCCGACGACAACGTGAGGAATCTCCCATCATATTTGAGGAGAAGAACAGGCGTTCCAGAAACAAGGTCAATTACTACATGCCTCCGCTCACTGCTGCCATTGTCGAGGAGGAGGAGGACCCTGCACCCACGCCAGGGAGGTCTCGTCGTGGTCGTGGGGCTGCTGCCACTAACTGGGAGCGCAACCTCAACACCACATTCGGCCCCTTTGGAGGAGGCGGAGGAGGAGGCTCGCTTCTCACTGGGCCCTGGGGAACCGGAGCAACTGGTGGCGTGGATTCGGATAGCAGTGATGATGAAATGGTGCATCGCTCCAACGTTGCTGGCAACATTGGAATGACCCCAACATCCGCAGCCCCCGCTGGTGGCCTCTTACCTGGTGGCCAGGGGTTGGCCGCTGAGACTCCTAATGTCGGAAAAATTAAGGATCGCAAGGCACTGGCTGATGCTGATCCCCTTGGAGTTGACATGAACGTTGATTTCAGCAAAGTCGGTGGTCTGCAGGGCCACATCGATCAACTGAAGGAAATGGTGCAGCTCCCACTTCTGTACCCAGAACTCTTCGCCAAGTTTCATGTTACACCCCCTCGAGGAGTTCTGTTCCATGGACCGCCCGGTACCGGTAAGACTCTTCTTGCACGAGCCCTTGCCAACTCTGTTGGCTCAGGTGGCAAGAAGATATCCTTTTACATGCGCAAGGGTGCCGACGCTCTTAGTAAATGGGTTGGTGAGGCTGAAAAGCAGCTTCGACTTCTCTTCGAGGAGGCTAGGAAGACACAGCCCAGTATTATCTTCTTCGATGAAATCGATGGATTGGCTCCTGTGAGATCTAGTAAACAAGAGCAGATCCATGCCTCCATTGTTTCCACCTTGCTCGCTCTGATGGATGGTATGGATGGACGTGGACAGGTTATTGTGATTGGTGCCACCAACAGACCCGACAACATTGATCCGGCACTTCGACGACCAGGTCGTTTTGATAGAGAATTCTACTTTCCTCTGCCAGACATCGATGGCCGTCGCTCGATTATCAACATCCACACCGAGCACTGGGGTCTCGCTGATGACTTTAAGCATGCGCTGGCACAACAGACCAAGGGTTATGGTGGTGCTGATCTCCGGGCTCTGTCTACGGAGGCCGCTCTCAACGCTATCCAGCGAACATACCCTCAGATTTACTCTTCCAAGGAGAAACTCATTGTCAACCCTGATAAAATCAGCGTTCACGCATCGGATTTCATGATGGCGATTAAGAAGCTGATCCCGTCCTCTGAGAGATCTGCGACATCTGGTGCTCAGCCACTTCCAAAATCCATTCATGATTTGCTGTCTGATCAGTTCGAAGCTGCAAAGCAGGCACTGGATGAAGTTCTCCCTCGGAAGAAGAAGATGACAGCCCTTGAGGAAGCCATGTATGAGCAGTTTAACGATGCGGATCATGGATTTGGACGAGAGGTTTTGCACCAAGAGTTTGAGCGATCGCGTGTGTTCAGACCTCGCTTCATCATTCATGGCGCGCACGGCATGGGCCAAGGATATCTTGCCTCAGCTATTCTGCACTATCTTGAAGGTGTTCACGTGCAGAACTTTGATCTGCCTAGCTTGTTGAATGACGGCCGAGTAAGTTAATATGCTTTTTTAACTCTTTGACCCCCCCTCCCCCTGAATGGCTATCATGTTTTTGAGTCCACGTTCTGACATATTGCAGGCTATGGAGCAGGTGATTGTTGGCCTTTTCACAGAGGTTCGACGCCATAAACCTAGTGTCATCTATATTCCTAATATTGATGCTTGGTATGCGTCGCTCAAAGGAACGCTTGCAATGATCACCTTCCAGACCATGTTGCGGTCAATCCCTCCAACGGACCCCGTGCTCGTTTTCGCAACAGCAGAGTGCGAACAGAATGATCTTCCAGCTGAATTGTTCCGAGACTTCTTTGGGTTCTCACGCAAAAATCGGATGGAGATACCTCGACCTACAGCTGTAAGTGGAATGTCGAAGTTATTATTGAGAATAGTGAGGGCTGACTAGAGTCTAGATAAATCGCAGAAAGTATTTTGCGGCGGCTCTTGGTTTCATCAAGAAGAAGCCTGCAGACTTTCCTGACCCCGAGAATCGTAAAAAGCGTGTTTTGGAGGTTCTTCCAGTGGCTCCTGCACCACAGCCAAAGCCTCCTACCAAGGCTGAGATGAAGGCCTTGAAGAAGAAGGACCATCAGTTGCTCAACACGCTGAAGATTCAGCTACAGCCCATCATGGACCAGATCAACCGGAAGTACAAGAAGTTCAGACAGCCCGTGATCCCGCAAACGCAAATCGATTACTTGTTTGCTGAATCGGACCCTAACTTTGTGAGTCCTGACGTCACAGAAGGTCTGCACCGACCCTTCACGATTGTCAAGGACAAGCATGGCAATGATGTCCTCATGGACACTGCAACCGAAAAGACATATTACAATTTGGAGACGACGACGATCGAGGAGCGACTGTCCAACGGTTTCTACGCCCGCCCTAAAGATTTCTTATTTGATATCCGAAGCCTGTCAAAGGACGCCAAGAACATCGGAGACAAGGAACGCACTTTGAAGGCCAATGAGCTTTTGAGCAATGTAGAGGTTGATGTCGCTAGCATCGAACAAAGTACATCTGCCATTGACTGGGAAGGTCTCTATACCCGACAAGTGCTGCGAGCCAAGGAGCAGGCCGAGAAGGAGCGGAAGAGGCAAGCGATGCAATTGCTCGTTGACAGGGTGCAGTCAGACCTTGGTGGCAACGGCAATGACAGCGACTCGCAAGGTCCTGTCACCCTGGGCGAGTCTGTACCAGGCTCCCGAACTACGGCTCGGTTCCAGGTGAGAAGTCCGTTAGTCAACCCGCCTGTCTCAGCTGAACAGGACCCTCAACCTGTCAGTAATGGCACCTCGCATGCTGCAGATGGCGATGTCCAGATGAGTGGGGTGGACGACGATACTCAACTAGAGTCCGAGACGTCCGGCATGCCCCCTCCAAAGGCGGCTGGAACTGGGATGACGCAAATCTCCCAGAGATCAGCGGTCACTTCGCTACCTCCTGGGGTATCGCCTTCTGCGGTTATTAATGATGCCTCCACGACCAAGACATCTGATCCATCAACGCACCGATCTTCAAACTGGAGTACGCAGTTGACGAACGGTAATCATGACGAACATAACCAAAGCGGATTGGGAGACCACGATGATGATATTCCCGACACGGCCCCAATGCCAAGCCAGGTGACGTCCAGCGGAGAAGACGTGTGGGTGCACTCGCAAGCACAGGCCCTACGAAGCAATGTTGCTGCTGGCGAGTCTCACGCTACGACGAGCGGTAGCCCGCCATCCCCGCAGTCGTTTGCTCAGCGCACCCCCTCAAGCACCAAATCCCACGGTATTGGTGTGTTGGATATACTGAACACTCAGTCAGATGATGTTCGTCACTCGAACTCATCTTCCCAACCGCTTGGCCTCGACCCTGCCATTGACGCATTCCTGGAGTTCATGACAGACAAAACATCAGGATGCACCATTGAACAGCTCGAGCAGATCAACCGAGAACTCATGGATGAGATCTGGCGTAGCAGGAATGAGTGGAATCGCCTTACGGTACTCAATCACGTAAAGAGCGTGTTCAACCTTACGATCGATGACATCGAGCGTATGCAAGGGATGGGCCCGCTCAGCCAGACGCGCCCTAGTATGGTCTCTTAGGAAGGGAATTCGGGCAGCTCAGGGCAAAAAAAGGCTGGGACTCTAGGTGTAGGGTGTCCCGAAGGAAACGACGTGACGAAGCTTCGGTACGATCAAAGAAGCCGGTCTGCCTTGTGTGAAATCATTTAGAAATAAGGTCCCAAGCGAGGGCCGGGTTTGGTGTTACTTTCCCCTCTACACATGTTTTATTTTTTAACAGTGTTTATTTCCTTCACGTTATTTGGCTCAGGAGTTTAGGACACAGCGGAAGGGGGCACGTCGGTGGATTTGAGTATCAGTGTATAAGCAAGGCGCTATTGAAGTTGAGTAAGGCAAAAAAGTACACATACAGTTTGTGCTCAGGAAAAGATAAAGAGGAAATATATTTTGCATGAAGCCAGAGGTGTGCTCTTCCTTCACTTGCATGTGAAGAAGCCAAGAGTAATGACGGATGGCGTTTGCTGCCGCCGACTGAAAACCGGATTGGATCTGATTAATTTAGAGGACTTTTGAGCGTATCAAATTTAAAATGGCTGCATATGATAGGAGTGACTTGATCAAAGTTGCAATGTGCAGAATTTCTACCCGATTATGACGGACACGGCGGGGTTTTCTGAGACATTGTTGTTCCACACATCCACCGGCCTTGAGCTGCTGCTTCTCCTCTTCCTTTTCGCCTTCTCATCCAACTGACGAGTGAGAAAAAGAAATATTTGTTCAGAGGGAAACCCAACGAAAATGTCGTCGCAAGAACTGACACTCATCGTTGCCGCCACGAAGAGCATGGGCATCGGCGCCAACGGCTCAATGCCCTGGCAGGGCCTCCGCAAGGAGATGCAGTACTTTGCACGCGTGACGACCAGGCTGCCACCAGAGGTGAGTTGCCGCATTTTCCCATAAAGAATGAAGTGAGAAAGAAGCTAAGGAAAGGGTCTTGGAAGGCCGCGCCCGGCTCGGTCAACGCCGTCATTATGGGCCGCAAGACGTGGGACTCGATCCCCCCAAAATTCCGCCCGCTCAAGGACCGGCTCAACATCGTCGTCACCCGCTCCGCGAGAGACACGCTGCTCACCCCCCTGCCGCCGAAGACGCTGCCCCTCACGGAGCCCCTCCGCGTGTCGTCGCTCGAGCGGGCCCTGATGTGCGCGGACGCGCGGTGCGGCGACGGGCGCGTCTTCGTCATGGGCGGCGCCCAGATCTACGAGGCGGCGCTGGCGCGGCGCGAGGCGAGGCGGGTGCTGCTGACGAGCATCGGCCGCGAGTACGGGTGCGACACGCACTTCCCGCTGCACCTGACCTGCAGCCCCTTGCCGCCCCTGGGCTGGAGGCGGATGGATCGCGCGGCGCTGGAGGCGTGGACTGGCGAGCAGGTGGAGGAGGGCGGGCAGGAGGAGGCTGGGATCAAGTATGAGTTCCAGATGTGGGAGAAGATTCCGGGATCTGAAGTTTTAAATATACGAAGGACATTTGAGCGTGAAGATTAACATATATATATGAGTATTCCCGCCAGATTAACCACGGGACTTGCTAAAGAAGTAGCAAGTTAGATATATAAGAATCTACACATGCAATGACCGGCTACGCCATGACCCCCCTTTTCCCGTCTAAGAGTGTTGTTTTTTTGTATGGTACATTATGTATACAATTTTAACCCCGCCGGCCTTTTCTCATCGGTTGGGTTTATTAGCTCGTCATGATCATACCTATGCGGTAGCTTCTGGCACCGGTTTCGTCCCCTTTGATGCATCCTGCGGCTTCCCACTGAACCCCTTCTCCAGCGTGCTCCAGAAGCTCTCGACGGGCACCGACAGGACCTCGGCCGCCCTGTTGGGGAACGTGTAGTCCGACGTGGCCTCGAGGGCCTTGAGGCTGGCCCGCATCCACCCGACGATGGCGGCGAGTGCGCGCGGGTCGGCGTCCGGGTCGCCCTTGAACAGGTTCCTCCATACGGCGCTGGCGAGGATGGCGTCGCCCTTGATGAGCCCCTCGTCGTAGGCGAGGAGGAGACCCCGCCACTGGACGAAGATGTCCTTGAGGTAGCGCTGGCGCAGGGCCGACGAGGTGATGTGGTGGTCGACGTGCATCTTCTTCTCGGCCTCGAAGAAGAAGTGGTCGATGAGCTGCTGCTGCCAGCGCCGGTAGACGTCGCGCTCGAAGCAGCGCACGCGCGCGTTGAGGAGGTAGAGGTGCAGCATGGTGACGTGCGACCATGTGCTGAATGTCGGGCGGAGCTTGAACTCTGGGCTCTCACGTTAGTTTTTTTCTTCTTTCTTTTCTGTCTCTCTTTTTGAGCTTGAGTGCGAAGTAATTACTCTTGTGCCAGACATTGGTGGCGGCAATGGATGTCCCGACCTCCTCGCCGTCGTCTAACCGGACGACCTTGTCGCTGTTGCGCTCCTCCTCGGTGATGTGGTAGTTGGCGGCCTCGCCGCAGACCTTGTAGAGCCGTTCCGTCGCTCCGACGACAAAGTACGGCCCGCTCGTTGCGGCGCTGAACTTGGGCATCGCGCTGGCCGGGGCCGTCTGGCTGAAGGTTCGATACTGCAGCTCCCTGGAGGGGTACTGGCTGCCAATGGAGGCGTTTCTGGCGGCAGCAGCTGGGCCGACGCTGGAGGCATATCGCTTTGTCGTCGAAGGGGCCCTCCGGGTTGCAGCCCGGAGGAGGGTCCGGGCTTGGGAGCGGCACGTTTCGCATGCCATTGTGTTGGGTTGACGAGGGGCCGTATCAAGTTCGAGAATTCGAATCTATGAAGCCAGCTCGTAGAGAGAATGGCGGGGGAATGGAGTTCGTGCAATGGATACCGGCCGTCCGTAGTGAAGAAATTCTACATGTGTGATGGGCGATCAGGCGGTCGGCAAATTATCGGCTTCGGGTCTGAGTGTCATGGACTTTCAATAATGTGGAATGTCATGAATAGCAGTTATTTCACACCATTTTTGGGTTTAAAATAAGTCAGAGAGGCCAATTGGCTTAGATATGGAAATAATAAGCCGTCTATTTTATGCTAGTTGAGTTGGTTGAGTTACATGTTATACATGGTCAGTTTTGTATGGTGTAATATAGTACAGTATGTAGATGGTGGCACGCATTTAACACTCGTCAAGCCTCGCCGAGACTATGAAAGCTTGGAAAACACCAGGGTGCTATTGGTGCCTCCAAAACCAAAGCTGTTTGTTAATGCGACCTGGACCTTTTTCTCCTGTGCTTCTAAAGGGACAAAGTTGAAGTCGAAGCCTACATTAGGGTTCTCCAGGTTCAAAGTTGGTGGTACAGCGCCCTGTGTTAGTGTTAGAGAGTGCACTTATTACTTGTATCTGAAACGCCGATTGGATGAAATTTACCTCGTGGATAGAAAGTATAGCAAAGAGGGCTTCGATAGCACCAGCAGCACCTAGGAGGTGACCCATGGCGCCTTTTGTGCTGCTCACGGTGACCTGCGACTCGGACGAGACACCGTCTTCGCCAAGCATCAACTGACGAATAGCGGCAGCTTCGGCTACGTCTCCAACCTGGGTGGCAGTTGCATGTGCGTTGATATAGTCGATATCTGAGGGTTTGAGCTTTGCATTCTTCAAGGCCCTTTTCATGGCAAGATACGCTCCGCTACCATCTTCACGTGGCGCTGTCATGTGGTAAGCATCACCGCTGCACCCATATCCTTTGACCTCAGCATAGATACGTGCTCCTCTTGCTCTTGCATGCTCTAGCTCTTCCAGTACGCAGACTGCGGCACCTTCAGCAATTACGAATCCATCACGCTGGGCATCGAATGGTCGGCAGCTCGCCTGCGGGGTTTCGTTAAAAGCAGTTGAGAGGGAACGTGCCCTGCCGAATCCTGCAAAAGTGAGTGGGTGAATGCAGGACTCCGAACCGCCGGCCACCATAATATCAGCGTCACCTAGAGCAATGAACCGAGATGCATCGCCTATCGAGTGAGCACCGGTGGTGCAGGCCGTGGTGGCGGCGTGGTTTGGGCCCCGGAACCCATGTTGCATGGCAATGTGGCCCGCCGCCATGTTGATGAGTAGTTTGGGCACAAACAACGGGGAGACCTTCCTGTAGCCCTACAAAACCATGTTAGATATCTAGTGGACCAGAATGCATGATGATGGGATTCTCGGCTTGGACGGCGTTGCTTTGGTTGTCGCCTGTTCAGAAGGAAAAGGGTGGAGTCGAGTTCATCTCCTTTTGCTCCTGAATCCATGTGTTTTGAAATTGGTTGTATTGAGTTACCTACCCCATCGTGATGAGCGACGCTTGTGTTGTACATGTCCTCTAAATTGCCTATCCCGCTCCCCAGACAGACACCGGTAGCCTCGCGGTCCTCAGCTGAGGCTTCATGCAGCAGTGCGGCGTCGGCCAGGGCCATGTCGCTTGCAGCGACGGCGTACTGGGTAAACTTTGACATGCGACGCTGGTCCGAAGTTCTCAGCCAATCTGTGGGGTCCCAGCAGTCATCCTGTCGGGGACCCGAAGGAATAAGCCCTGCCACAGTGCTGGTCTGCTCCCGCCATTGATCAGCAGGGTTCAGACCCCGGACACTGACAAGACCAGAGTCGCCAGCGAGCAGCCGGGCCCAAGTTCGCCGGATGCCTACCCCCAGAGGCGTAATGGCCCCAAGCCCAGTCACGACCACTCGACGCATGCTCCTGTTTCCATTCCCAAGAAAGCGAGGAGCCGGGGACGACAGCAAGAGGCGGGGACTGAGGCGGGAGGAGGCGGTGGGGGGGCTCAGGCTGGATGCAGAGCCAGTTCTGCCGGTCAGAAGGTTAGGTAAGGAGGAACGCGGTTCAATTATTTAGTTGGTGGGTTTGCGGTGGGCGAAACTGTTGCTTTCCATGTTGCTAGAAGGGCTAGTCAGCGTATTATTCAGACTCATGGAGCAGGGCGCCGATGGATGGCAGACGAAGTTATTTAAAGAACAGCCTTAGTACCGAATGGGCTCAGCCCCTGTACGGGGCAGGTCCACCGCCGTCATGCGTGGCCTGCTCGCACTGTGCGCGCGCCGCCGTTCCCGCTGCTAAACATAGTGCCGGCAGGATTCGTCTACTGTGCGGCGCAGCACCCTTCTTCCTTGTCGCGACACCTGCACTGCTTATCAGAAGTTGAAGCCAGATTCGTGATTTAAGATTCGGTGGACGGCTCTTTTTCTCCTGGCTCTTATTTCGCTAGCGGGATTCTTCTGCTTTTCTCTCTGTCTTGTTCAACCTTCCACCTTGTCTGTTGAATTGTTTCCATATCTCCCTTGTCTTTCCTTCTTTTCCCCCGCTTCAGCTTCCTTAACTGGTGCCTTTCTCAGCGTTGCGTTGCTCTAGAATCGGTAGTGCTTACTACCGTTGCTCCTTTTCTCTTGCGACGGCCGTCAGACGATAACCAACGCCATTCTGAAGCCAGCCGAATTGCACCGCAATTTGGCTTTTTCTTCTCGCGGATTAGAATTTTTAAACTCCTCGTGGAATTTTTATTATTTTTATTTTTCTCTTCAAATTGGCTGGTTGCACGAGCGCACGGGTTTAAACTTACGCTACATGTATTGAACAGCGGACTGTCCGGATTTGAGGCGTTGATAGCCTCGCACAAGGTCAGCGTCTTCGGTTGGCCGCTCACAGGATTCTGTCACCATGAGTCTTTTGAATGAGGATGAGCGATCCAGAACCGCCGAGACTAGCGGGCTTTTGCCTGACGACTCTCTGGCGTCAAGGCTGTCTGGCGCTCACGACAGACCTGACTCCCCGGACGGGGCTCTGAGGGAAGGCGTTGCCGGATTGGCAGGAAATCATGATGATGATGACGAGGGATCCGAGTATGAGCTCATGAATGACCCCAATCTCCCAGACGAAGATGAGGAACTTGGGTCGGACGTGGAGGAGGGTTTGCTGAGCGGTGCGGTCAAGAACCGGGGCGAGGAGGAGGAAAACTCGCCATACCCCGAAGTCCGGGCCGCAGTCAAGAACTATGACGAGGAAATGCCTTGCAACACGGTCCGCGCCTGGTCAATTGGTATGTTCCTGGTCATTTTCGGCGCTTCCATGAACACCCTGTTTTCTCTGCGGCGGCCCTCTATTTCGATCGGCCCCCTGATCGCCCAAATCGTCGCTTGGCCTCTGGGCCACGGATGGGCCAAATATTTCCCCAACGTGAAGATCCCCCTGGGCAAGACAACGTGCATCGAGCTCAATCCAGGGCCGTTCAATGTCAAGGAACACGCCATTATTGTCGTCATGGCCAGTGTGTCGTTTTCAGTCGCATATGCGACCGATATCATTCTCGCACAGGTCCACTTCTACAAGCAGGATTTTGGCCTGATTTTCCAGCTGATCCTCACGATATCTACTCAATCTTTGGGCTATGGTATCGCTGGAATGCTGAGAAAATTCCTTGGTAAGGATACGCTGAGTGCTGCACCCCATCTCTATAGAACCCGAAGCTAACAACTCACCCCCCTTGATAGTCTATCCGTCTTCCATGATTTGGCCAGGAAAC